GTAATAAAGTTAGATTGTCATACTCAAGAACCGACTATATACTACAACATATCACATAGTTCATCATATGAAATCAATGCTTAGTGTAGTTGGTTAGTTAGTTTACCGTGCACGGCAATACGACTCCATAATACAATAGAGTAACTGTTACACGCACGTGTCTTCACTCATGACAACAACTTGAGTGAGAGATGCACAGCAGATGTTTGTAAAAACTGTTTTGTTTGTATACTAATCTCTGTATATATCTATTAATATAAATATAGACATTCCACTTATATGAATGTTTTTATAGAAAATGGCGCAGACGTATCCATCCATACTGAGAACGAGGCTGTGACAGGTGCACGTGATCGTCTTCCAGTGTTTGCTCAAAATTCCAACTGAAGACAAGCCTATCGTGTTGTGTAATTTGGATGATTTAGGCTGATACTCACAACTCTTAGTATTGTTGGACACTATGAATGTCCATGTCCATTAAGCATGTTTATTAGTCGAATATGCACTCATACTAATTAAAAAATGAGGAAGGAATCTATAATTATGACATTACAGAAAGTATATCGTTAAGTATCACTGATTGATGTTGATAGTTAAAAAGCTTTATACTCGAACAATGATAGAGGTTAAATAGTTAAACTAAAAATTACAAATAATTAAAGTAATTATTCATCCGGATGCCCGTTGAAGGTTCACACGTTTAAAAAGAGTTTGAATAATGCTATGAATAATTAGGTCATATTAATACCGTGATAAAAATCAATAGACCTCGGACGCAAATTTTCAACGAGATCTCGCTGAGAGCGAGGAAACCACGTTACTTTGTTCCTTAAATAGTGCACTTGTTATTGTCATCGCGTCCACTATTGCCATGGTCTGTGTAACCATGACATTTTCCAAATAATTTAACAAGTGCGTCGTCTGATTCTTAGTGAAATCAAGGCAAGAGAAAACCAGTAATCAGAAATGTCGATTCCACACTCATAAATGCCATTAATTGATTTCTTTAGAACGGACTTGCACGTCTCTCAACTAATACAGTAATATACTACATAGTATTTGTTTTGTAGAACATGTGATAGTATTCTACAAAACGAAGAGCGTCGGGTAACTGCCGCTAAATTCAACCATGGTGTGCCAAACTGGTTGTAATTAGTGTGCACTTGGGAAATAAATGCAAATCCGTACTTTTAATTAGTGGTACTAATGAATGTGTGGAATCGATAATTCTGATTACTGCGAGTGTATGTCCACTGTATAACATAGCGTAGTTAAATAACGCACATTTATAAGTATTTAATCATCATGTCTACTCAAATGAACTTAATTCCTTGAAAGTGTACATCATCTTTGGTCTTCGATCTTCGGCCTTTTATCTTCGCTTCTTGTACATCCATCACAATCATTGGTTCCAATAACTTGGTATATATTGTACTAATTATAATAAATACACATCTAATGTTACAGATATTTGGTGATTGTACATCCTTTGTTAGCCAAGTCTATGATCACGATGGGAAGAACCCGCAAAGTCATTGTTGGTGTATGGTTGGTAGCTATAATATATAGCGTACCTCCTCTATATTTCAAGGTGAGTAACACGTGCGAGTTGGGATCGATGACAAGTGAAAGTAATAAAGTAAAGTCAGAATACGAATATAGAGTGTAGAATATATATAACATGTGTCTAATACGTATTGTTGTATTTCTCGCAACAGAAACAGTTGTCATGGGACTTTCCAAACTTCACAGTCTACCATACATGTACTACCATATGGCCAAGTGACGTGTGGGGCAAAGCATACTCTTTGTATCTACTCTTTGGAATGTATATCATTCCCTTCTTGGTCATGTATTTCTGTTACGCAAGGATCATCCACGAACTGTGGCGTAGCACCCTCATTTCTCGAAAGATGCAGAACATGCCAGAGAATTACAAGCTGTGTTCGAAACAGAACGGGGGAGGGGAGAGCAGATATCTCACTGTTCCGGAAGAGTCTAGTTTGGGTCTCGGTGCGAAAAGCGCAAAGAATAAACAAAGAAGGTTTAAGAAAAAGTATAACAGCGAGCATGCACGGAAACAGGTCTGTGAATCTAATAAGTAATAACTGTTCCTATTTAATCAGATAAAAACAAAATAGATTATAAGTAATATTAATTTTCAAATGTGTACAATTTTTGTGATGTAGTCCATGGTGTTGTGTCCCATATTGCAATGATGTTCGCTGTTATTTGTGAAAAATGACCATGTCACATTGGTCGCAATTTCTACTCGACACAATGGTCCGCGATATTAAAATAATGTCAATATAACGTTTTTTTCTTCTCTTTCATATCTCAGCTCATTTGGATGCTGCTATTAGTGGTGTTGCTGTTCATGATTTGTTGGGGTCCGCTCCTGTGGTTGATATGTCTCATAGAGTTCGGCTACATACCTAGATACAGTCACTTCAAAACTTATCTGGCCATTGCGTTCAATCTCCTTTCTTACCTGAACAGTTGCATGAACCCTATATGCTACGCCTTCATCTCGCGCACATTTCGGAATTGCTTCTTCTGGGCGATCAAGACGTGCTGCAGAGTTAGTGGTACCCAGGACACCCACCGACCCTCTGCGACCAGTAGCATCATTAGCAAAGGTGTGTCGTCCGTGTATACTCGCGCACTGATAGAGCGTTCATCTTTGGCTGACATCGCTACCGATGCTGCTACAACATCTAAGCACGTATTAGATACGAACAAAACACTTAGAGCAAGTTTCACCTCGGCTCATCGTGCACAAAGTACTATATAGACATATTCATTGTTGGACATTATTAATAAAACGAGGGATTTGATTCGAAACTTTATGAAATGGAAGAAACGCATTATGAGGTTAGTTGGATTACCCCTGAGCTGAGAATGATAGGCGTATCACAATACCCACCTCGTTAGACAAACACCGACCACCTGCAGTAGAGTTGAGCTTGTGCTGAATCCATCAACGATAGCCCTCATGTTCATACTATGCCGGAGGTTGAACACCGAAAATGTGTCCAACTTTACCCTGTGCCTCTCACAGCGGATTTCATATATTAACAAGAAAGTCTCGACGGTCTCCTCTGAGATCCGTGTCTTCTCCCTGTAAAGTAAATGAGAAAGGATCCTTACAAAGACTTTATAGGGGACTAAAGCCTCTGACTGAGGAGTATTCACAAATGGATGTAACTTTGACAGAGCTTGACAGTCTGCAGGTACAAGACCCGGGGTTTAGTTTACACAGGGAGAGAACATTCAATTGCAAACATTTTATGGAGAGATAGGTATACATTCTTGTCACCATAATGCACTCTTGAACACGTAGTAGAAATTCTGTGACAAAATATATTATATGTATTTTAGCAATAGCACTTACAATTTGTATATACATCGCGACATTTAATATGACGAACACTCAAGGGAACAAACATTCTCTGTGCCGAATAGTTTATGTCACACTTAATTTATATTCAATATGACGAACGTTCAATAAGACGAACATTCAAGGTAACATATCGATTCATTGTGAAGAATATTTAATGTGACATACATTACATTTGACTAACATTGAATGTTAAAAACATATAACAATGAAACCAAAATTCAATGTGACGTGCATTCAACATTGGAATGACCCCACCTTTGATGTTAACATCTGAGAACATGTAAACGCAAATCATATCAGACTATCAGGAGAGTGGGTTCTGCAACTATTCAACTATTTGTATCCCCGAAAAATCATGATTAATAATACCTTGCAATGTGCAATGTTCATGCATTAGATCAATGCTTATGTTTGACATGACACGTTTAAATACGTCACATGACATGTTATGTTGAGCATGGATGTCATTTTGCCATATTGTACTCGGTTGTTTTGTGGGTCGATTTGACATGTATAAGTCAGTACATATATTGTCGATGAAACCATTGAATCGATGCGTGAGACATTCAAATGTTCAAGAATTACCGTCAAGATTTTTTTAAAATTTAACTACACTAACACAATATTATAGTACAGCAGAATATTCAAAAAATACTTTTTAAATATATTTTCTTCAGATATTTATTTCTATCCTACAATAATCGTCCCACAATGCATTGCTATAGATTATATATTTATTATCTTCAATATTCACCAGAATTCACCTATCAATATCTTCTGTTTGCAACCGTATAGCTTATGACTATATTTAGGAATACGTGTTATCGCTGAGTGCCGGAAAATGTGTTGTAATAATATGAAGTTTTGTCATTTGTGATGAATGTTTGTTGTTGTTGTTGTTGTTGTTGTTGTGTATTATATATCTTTGATAGTCGTTACCATGCCGATTCATTTGAATCTAATTTCACTGTTACAGCTGTGTACGTTTCCAATGTGTAAATAAATCACTACCAATGTGACCAACACGTTTGTGCAATTAATTCATTTTCTTCCACACACTTTTACCAACATTTTAACATTATACGTAATTGATATACTAATCCCATTATTATTGCAGGACAATTTAGTTTACTTACTTTTCATAATATAATAATACGTGTTTTTATATATTGAAGCGATTTATTAGCGGTGTGATTAAATTCGTCATTTACCAGTCAGCTGATTAAACGTGAAAACACGCACCATTCAAGTTAACAAACATTGTTTTCAAATTGCTATGGTCGAGCTTTGACCAATCTGTGTTGTAAACGTTATTTTATTAATATTCATAAACTATCTATTAATCATAGTTGATTGTGTCAGAGTTAATTGGATTCCTACGGTGATTTGACATTAAATATGTACAATGACTTAATATACATTAACCATCCTATTCACACAGTAATTAACATTAGTAATACTTATGCAAATTATATTTACAAGCAGGTAAGTATTATATTTTGTGTGTGACGTCACGAAGACAATACAAATAAAATTTCAGTGCCATCACAGTTGCATGTCTTGTCTCTCTCGCATCTTCAATATAGCCCCCCTGACATTTGTGGGTTACAGTATTGTATTAGTGGTAAATATGTGTTATAAATACCCATTTAAAACCATAGACCTTTTTTTCCAGAACATACACTTCTTCATGATAGACATAGGTTTTTGGTGTGAGTTATTATAATGATGTTATATCATTCATAGCTCTAGGGTCAATAATTTATCTCGCTTTTACGTTAGCAAAAATCAACTCTTTCTTAAAGCGGGGAGTCGTCACCTGCGCATGCGTCAGATGGCCATAGCGTATCATTGTTTACAAACAAGCGTCTACCCATGAGCCTTTGTGATTTTAGCGTGTTTTTTTTTTCAATCCCGCGCGTGCGCAGGTGACGACCCTCCCTGCTTTAAATGATTCGTTCTCAGGAGAACTATGTGTCATTTAAGCTAAATGTATTACTCATAAATTATTGCGGTGAATATATATTGACATAGATCAGGTGGTTGTTACTCGGTTAGCCAGTCCAGGTTGTTATATTATGTACTTACATTTCTGGACTTGACCTTGCGTAGTCCGAATATTGCTACTTTATTTACATATTTTGTCATTCACATTTTGACAATCTCTTCGACAACAATTAGTTTAAGCTACATTTAAATTTTCCATGTTTCGTTGTATAATCACACGAGACATGTTATAACATTCTGGTCATCTGTCAATCTCCCTATGTGTAATATAATTTGAAATACCAATGTCAAGCACGATTCCCGAATCGACCACACTACGTATAATACGTTGCCAGTAATCAGTTTTGTTTTAGTATTTGATTATTTTGTAGCTGTTTGCGCGTGAACAGCAATGCCAGCATTTTGACTACAGAATAACACTGTTAATGCTATGAGTGACATATATTTCAGAGACATTCAGTTATTTTTTTCGAATTGACATTTCGAAATACTACTCTCCAGAAAAGTATTTATTTTAAACTTATCATTCCTCACATCGTTGCATATATTATATTTCACTTTTGACAGTATCCGCTTATATCAAAAGCTTTCAAAATAATTTGTTTTACTCCAGTGATTTTTCTGACGATATTTGTGAGTAAAAATACACTGTTATGATCTCAGCAGATTGTACGAAATCGAAGTTATGTTTTCGGAATTATACGCTGTTTGTGAGAAATCAACATAACCGGCGTAGATAATTTTAAATAAAATTCATATTTTAATTATCCATGATAACATTTCAGCAATTTTTTTTTCTGATTCGGAATGAATCGATACACCGATAATGTGAAATATATGAGATATATTTGATATGCTAGCTATCAGTAACTAGCTGCGTATCGTTCTTGTCCAGGAAGCTTTCAGAAAAAGTATAACCTGTCCTGGTCGATTTTTGCGACATCGAATACAATTGCCTGACTCTCCATCACTTCATTACAGAAGAATAAATTCATTACAGTACACTATACCGTGTTAATTTTGAATATATTTTCTCTGTATTTTCGAGAGAACGATCAACGAGGTGACCAAGTCACAACAAACATCGTCGACAATGACACATAGGAATAAAGCAATATTTGATTTCTTCTCCAGGCACAAAACATTAACCACAACTTTTCGCGATAATGTTCACCCAGTTCTCCATATATAGTAGAATATTATAGTTTATTGAATTTATAAAAAAATGACATGTATCTGGATTGCAACCACTCGAGTTTAACTATTCAAAGTAGTATGAAATAGCACAGTATCACGGACTAATGTGAAACAACGAAAAAATGTTCAGTACTCTTTATAACTAATGTAAATACTAATGCTTTTCGTTCGCAATATTCAATGAACGTTTGTAGTACAATTATTATTTACATATACAGTTAAAAGCATTAATAAACATTCAAATACGCCGGAAGTGACCCTGGCTGATTCATACCTCACTCGGCGAGGAAATAATATACCAGGACATAAATTACAAAGCAAATATCCGTATAAATATAACACCAAGATTTCCCCCATCATTTAAATATATGAAGTATTGAAACCACCCATAACAGTATATAGCTACACGTTAATGCTATTTATAATTACGACGCGTCATTAACCGTTTATTATCAGCGATAATATTTGCTTGACTTTTCTGTTTAGCGAGACGTTGAACGTAAAAGCACTCCTGTGGAGATTCATAGTCAATTCGTTCCAATTCATATCCGTTCTATTGCCTTTCGTTAGCCTAATTGCGATCTTGTGCAGGGTGATGTTTATTTCCATGTTGATGTACAAAAAGTTGCCAATTTCGTGTGCATGCTAGGTCTTGTCGATTTCTATCGACGATGATTCGGCCATCCGTTTATTTGTTTCTGATGCGCTTGTTCTACCCACCCACTCACCTACCCATTAACACCCAACCAACTGGCTGAGTACGGTCGTCACCTTGCTTTCATGTGCACGATAAATAGGTGACCACGATTAGATCTCAGACCACTTAAATTCGCGTATTGAACGAGTTAGTTTCAGGCTGACCTAAATCGAACGAATAAACTTTTGGGACGAATCGACTTTGGACGAATGTGATTTGAGACAAATCTACCGTCCACCCCTGTGATGTATTACATAGTTATTATAAATACATTCTTACAAAAATAATGCTCACAGCTTAACACAGAATTGTCACAAAAGATTACGCTAACAACCTTCACGTAATCAAATGTTAAAACGCCGTAATCCTTTGAAAGGTACATATCTAATCGTAGTGACATGAACATTTTTTGTGCAATTCATGCAATTTAATATAATAAGGCAAGACATTTACAGACGAGTTATTTCAATTTATGTTAAGAACTCCCCAT